ATTACGCTTCACGTAATAATTATCCGTAACTTCTATTCTTTCCCGCTTCACAGCATTATTTATATTTTTGAATATAATCAGCTTCAACGTAAAGTTTTCAGAAATTAGCTTTTTTTGTCAGTCAAACGTTATTTACGGTCTAAGTTATAAAACTTGCAATTTATAAAACTTTGAAAATTTTAAATGGCTGCTTTTTCTAAACTAATTGATCGATTTTGCTCATCTTTGAACTCGACCTAGGTAATTACCCAAAGACTATATGTATCAAGTTTCATTAAGATCGGTTGAAAACTTTTCAAGATATCCTGATGACAAGGCTGGTTATATTACATATATATACATACATATCGATGGTCTAATTAGTAATTTGTCTAACTCCATATTTTTTAGAGGGTAATTTTTTTAACATTTTGATGTAGCCATAATCGAATTATAAATTATTTGAATGATTCAAACCTAAATATTATATCTCTAATAGATAATAATGATATTAAATGGTTTTTTAAAGTGATAATGAATTTTGAACTAATTGTTTTTTTCGTACAAATAGAAGATTCTCTAAAATCGAGTTAGACAATTTACTAATTAGAACGTCGATATATAAATTTTCTAACCAATGGTGTTTTTGGAACCTACTCGACTAATTATGACATATGATAGCAAAATCAGGTGAAAATTCCACCATGAGGACTAATGCAATAGTTAGATTTCTAAAGAAATCTACCTAATTATTAAAAAATTGAAAAATTTCTTTTTGGAATAAATAAAAAAAAAAATAGAAAGAAAAATCGACCCACTCCATGCGCTACAGTAATAATTACAGAAAAAATCAATGTTTTTTTTTGACGGTTAAGAAATTTACTGTATGAAACAGAACTTTGACTGAGTTCAAGAGATCTATATAATTTCTATGTCAAAAGCGATGAATGGTTTGAAATTGAACAATCTCATGAATGTTTTAATAACAGTTTTACTAATTAGTAGAATTAATTTATTCGAAACTTTAATAAATGATTGTTATCATTAATTTAAAATATTTTTTATGTACATTAAAAATAATTAAAATAATAATTTTCGAGATATTAAAATTTTTATGTAAAATTTAAGATACCGGTTTACCATTTATAAACTACTAAATTTAAGATTGACATTTTAATCATGAAAAAACGTTGAAATTAAAAAGTAATTATTTTAAAAATAGCTCTGGTTATTATTATTTTTTATTATGCTTGCTTTCACAGCTACACCGTATCGGTAATCCAGCTGTATTAACGAATTAATATTAATATATAATGTTATTAAAACAGAATTTTAATTCTAAAGACCATTCGTATTACAATCCTATCTTTAATTTTTTTTTTTTTTGTAACATTACCTGTACTCTGGCTTCAGATAAAGATACTCTCGTCGCAAGTTCTTCTCTTACAAAAGCATCAGGATAATGTGTTCTCTCAAAAACTCTTTCAAGAGCAGCTAGTTGTTGCGCTGAAAACGTTGTTCTGCTTCTTCTAGGTCTTCTACCTCCACTGGAAGCTCCCTCATGGCAGTCTAAATAATATTATTATTTTTACATCATCGATTCATAATTTTATTACTCTTTTGCAGTTATGATTGTGTCGATCTACCATCAACTTATTGGATAGTAAATTTTAAAAATAATTCAAGGAATATATGATCCAAGGGCAAAGAAAAAGGTATGTACTCTGATACACTGAACTTGTGACTGATGAATATGTTTATATATATGCAAATTAAAAGAGAGAAAGAGCAATAAGTTAAGAGAGGCGAGAACACTCAACGCGCTAACTGGGGGAATTCGAGTGCAAAAAGGATCTCGATTCTCGATCTGGTGTTGTATCACGATACAGGCAACCTACCAGTAAAGGACAGACGCGTAATTCTTGAATGAATCTACTGTACTTGGGCAATCATCAAAGCGGTATGATTTAAACAGCATGACGTTCTTGAAATGCATCATTACGATTAAATCAAATGCTTTGGCGTCTCTAACTAAATGAATCATTTGTCAAATGTGTTCATGATATTTAATAAATATTATGTTACTTGAGTGAAATACAATTTATTTAAATTATTCAACAGTGTTTTAAAAATAACATCAAAATGTATCAACTCGGCAGCGAATTTTTTTACAAAACTTTATAGATATAATGACATTTTATAAGAAAATTTTTTTCTGGGTAAAGTGAAATAAAAAAAATACTTTTTTAATTTTATCCGACTTTTCACAATAATATTAAAATATTCTCATTAAATAAATAAAATCTAACGACAATTTTTTATAAATCAAATGCACCGATAAATTGTGATCAAAATTAAAAAAAAACAATCGATAAGATATCATAGCACTTAAAAAGTTATAACTTTAGTAGCTAGTAATAATGAAAATAATAAAATATATTTAGCAAGAAAAAACTTACCTAAATGATGATTAGAGGTTGACAAGAGTCTTGAAACAGTAAAATCCTGAGGGACATGAGAGTTGGCCACTTGTGAAATAATCATTGAATCATTTGGTGTATTATCATTATCAGGATGTAACATTCTCCTTCCTTCTGTTTATCTTTACATTTAATTTAATGTCACTAATCACTTATATAAATTTATTTTATAAAATATATTATTTACAGTATATTTTTGTTATTATTAATTAACGTATGATTAATCAGTGAATTTAATTATTGGGTAATTTATGTATTTGAATTTGAAATATATATATATATATGTATATATTTATATTCATATATATTAACTTATAAGTAAGTAAGCCATTAAAAAATAGACTGTGTTTGACACGTTTACTAGCCTACTGTTTCACATTGCCACCTTTTATAAGATAGTCTGTTATCAGAGCTTTTTTTTCTTATGTAAAACCACAATTGTATTTCGTGCTCGCAACGAAATTATCCATTAATTATGCAAACGCAAATAATTCGTCAAGACATGCAAACACATATATACCTAATAATAATGTAAGTACTATATAATATGCCTATACAGACGGTTCTTTAAAACGACCTAAATTAAATTATTTATCCGTCAATGTGTCGTATTTTATATATGTACATACATAATTTGTTCTTCACTACTAATCGAATCATTTAAATTATCAATTAAATGTAACACTACCTAAATGAATGTGAAAATTAAAAGGAAAATATAGTATAGTAGTATAAATTGATACAAGTTGATGAAGAGTAAACGAGAAATTAATCTTCGTAAATTATTTGATGCGAGCCGTGTGTATAGGGAGGCAAGATGCCAACTGACTTGCTGAGTTAGGACGTACTTAAAGGTTCCACATTTTCTATCTCTTCTTTTATTCATATGTCTCTTTTCTTCTTCTTCTTCGTTTCTTCATCTTCATTTTCAAAACTTTTTTTTTACAACTTTATGAGATAAATAGACCGATCTAAGAGTAGGTGGAGATTATCAAGCTCCACCCTTTGGTGGATCACTCATTGGTAACTTTGTTTTTATCTGGGCGTAATACTTATTATTTAGTTAACGACGGATTTTCTAAATCATCTAATTATCTGTAATTATCTATTTCAATATAGTAGTCAATTTTTATTTGAACTGTATAATTACGTAAAAAAAATATGATAAATGATCAGACAAGTTTTATTTCTTGATTACATATTTGATTTGAATTAATTAATTAATCATTGACAGTAGTTCTTTTACGTTTGCACAGTAAAAATTTTATGATAATGAGAATCAAACCAGTAAATGCGAAATTTATCTACTGATTCTTATGTTAAAAATCGACAAACTATGATCATGTAATTCTTCACGTTTAATTAGTGATAGGGCACTCAATTAAAATTTTTAGTTAATGTTAATACATATTGAATATTATTATATTTTATAGTCATATATCATTCAAAAATATATCTTTGAAATTTATTTAACCATTCCCCATGAGCAAGTGTCTTTAAAAATTTGAAAAGTAATTTTTTTTAACCGAATTTTCAGGGGATTTCAAAGATTCAAAATTTCAGAAAGCGTTCCAATCATTTCCGGAATAATAAGTATCAATTTTTTGATTCTTGAATATCTATCGAATGAAATGACCATTCGAGTCCGGGATTGTTTGGTATGTTTGAAAGAATTTAAATATTCTAAAAATATTGTCGTAATCAGTCAAGAAGATTTTGAAATATTCTTCAAAATATATTTATTAAAAAAATATATTCGCGAAATAATTTTTAACTTAGCAAGTAGATTTATTTAAAAATCTACACTGTAAAAAATTGTGGTGTAAAAATGGACCTCGAGAATACTACACGGTGTGAAATGATGGTGTAAAATTCTAATCCGTTTACTTTTAACACAGTGTGACACATTTTTTCACACTATTACGTGTTATTTAATATAAGAGGATCTGCGTTACCATGGTAAAAAAGTAAATAAATAAATAAAAAATGGATTGAATAAAATGAATTAAAAACAAAAATTTTTTTTCGAATAATAAGCTCTTTTTATAATACTGATAAAGGGGCATTCCATAGTGACTGGTGGGACATTTGACTCTGGAATTCCATTAATTATAAGCTACAATTATGTGGTTGAAACGTATACTATAGTAAAATGTATCTTATAATATAGAAGAATAACTAATTAACAACATCCCTTTAGTTTAGTGGTCGAATTTTAGTTCGACCACTAAACTTTTAAAAAATACTTCCCTCTCAATACAAAATTTATCCTACAAACATTCAATATTATGAAGAATTAGACTGATTTTACTTACGTAGAAACAATTAAAAACGTTGTTTTTTATTGCGACTGGGTGGGACAAGTACAAAATGTGTACATCAAGTTGTTTATTATAACAAATCGTTAACCGCTGTCATTTCTGTTGCTACCGCTAACCTTAAAAATAATTATCAATGTTGTTTTTTCGTCTGTTAATTTAATATCAAAGTACTATTAAAGTCAATTCAATACTCCTACCAATAAACTATAGTCAGAATGCTTATCTACAAATTTAAATTTGAATAATCAAATTATGAATTATCAAAACTATAAATATATAGTGGCGATACAATTTTTAATTGCTCTAATATCAAGTTTGAAAACTGTGTTTTTTATGGAAGTATTATTAATAATTATGATCATTCAATTGAAAATGAAAACGATAAAAAAAACGCAATAAGAGTTTTTAGCTTATAATATGTTTTTTTTTTTTTTAAATTTTATAATAACTAATATAGTTTGTTAAACTAATGAAAATGAATACATCTTTGATAAAATGAAATTAATTTATTACACTGAGAAAAAAAAATACTTTTACTCAATTAACAATTTCTTGGTACAAGAAATTCGATGACGATCAAATATTCTATTATTATTAATTATTAATTTCTGAAGAGAAGAGCATCAATATTTATCTTTGAATAATAGATAAACA